TATTTGATGAAGGAGAAGTTGTTGTTGTTCGGTGGAAGAAGGCAAGGAAGATGAGCCATGAAGGGTTGGAAGGGGTTGCTAACGATGGTGGTGGAGAGTAGATGCAAATCTGTTCTACTGTTGTTGCTCTATTCGGTGAAGGAGAAGCTGCTACTGTTTGGTGGAGGGAGGCAAGGAAGATGAGTCAAGAAGGGTTGGAAAAGGCTGTCGACAATGATGGTTAAGAGCAGAGAGGTCGGTGGAGGGATAAGGATCTATTTTGTTTCTTGAAGTCTTGAACTTTCTTCTTCTATCTATTTTCTGCACTTTTTCTGGACTATCGATGCCAAGTATGGTTTTTTTTTTTTTAGTTTTGACCTTTAATTAGGGTTTTTTTTTTTATCTAATCTTAATTGAAGTTTAAGGGGTTTTTATGTAATACTATTAAAAAAGTGGGATAAAATGGGTATATTACCTTGAAAATTATAAAAAAAAAAAGGGGTTAATTGAAGAGATGAGGTGCAACCCGACAGGGTGAACAAGCCAAAAGGGTGGAGCAGGTTCAACGGGCCAAATGGGTGGAGTGGGCCTACTGGGTTGGAGTGGGCCAAATGTCAAAATGGGCTAAGGAATGTATTTGGGTTGTTTTCAAGTCTGGGTCTGGTTAAACTGGTTCAACCAACAGGACCGAGCCCAGCTTTAAAACAGTAAGTTCGAGTCTTATGAATAGAAAAACAAGTACTAAAAGAGTTTTCCTTTATTGGGTCTGACACAGCTCAATCAACTATAAGCTCAACTGACCCAATTGAACAACTATCAACCATTGGATGAGGTTCAATTTAATTCCTAATCAAACACAATTAATTTACTTGGAAGCATGTTCATCATTGAGATAGAAAATGAGAGGTTAATGAAGAGGTTGTCGACACTATAAATAAAAATTATTAATTTTATTTTTAATTTTATTAATTTATAATTTATTATATAAATAATTAAGATATTTATAAATTAATTTTAATTTATTAAATAATAAATATTAATTATTTTATTATTATTTGTAACCATCAAATTAATATAAAATTTTCATAATTTTGATGACCCTAACCAAAATTAGTTGTCATAGTAAGCATAGCTAGTTATAACATGTTAAACAAACAATCGCATTTACGGGCTACATCTAATCCACAGAATATAATTAATGTTCAACTTTGGACCTTACCCGAATAAAAGCACACCAAAAGCTGTCGTTTCACAAACGCCACCGACGAGTATTCTTCTTCTTACCGTCTATTTTTTTTGGTAGCTCACTAATATCATCGACCGTGAAGTGAGGGCTATAAAAATAAAACCCCCAATTCACTGTTTCTTCATCTTCCTATCCATATTCACCTTACAAAAACTCATTGCTTTTGGCTGAAAGTATCAGTGTTTAATTTTGCAACATATTTCATAGAATTCGAAGTTGTGATGATTTCTTCATGTACAAGGTTAATTCGTTAGTGTGTCTTCATTCTATTTTTTGATCCTAGTTGGATTATATTCGGTTTTATTTTCTTTTATTTTTGGGTTTTTAATTAGTCTAGTTTAGTAAATTAGAAAATTTTATAATAAATATTCCTCATTCTTTTTTATATTTTTTTATAAATACTACATATAATTAGAAAACTATATGCAACTGATCTTAACTTTTATATTAGTAATGAGTTATTTTTTATTCTCTTTCCAACCGATATGGGATTTTGAAAATCATCCTCATCAGTCTAACCCTTCTTTTGTAAGCATACCATACCTTTCTAGAAACTTTAATCAAACAGTATTTCCAAGGGCTTTAGCAAATATTGTAATCTACAATTGCAACACAACTAAAATTTACAAAGGTCTCATAAAAAAAAATTTACAATGAAGGTAGGCACATTACATTTTCTACACAATATCATGCATGGTATGACATGCTATTAACTTAGTATTATAAGTAATTTTTTTAATTCAAGCAATCATGTATAATATTATATGTAATTATTTATTTAATTTTATGTCACATTGTGCAAAAAAAGTGAAGTGTAAATTTAATAATTTATTACAAAAACTAAACAAATTAGGTGTTTTTGAGAGGCAAAATTAGTATACCCAAATTTTGTTGCTGACCATAATTTTATAATAATTATAACATGGAGGCTTCAACAAAATAATTTTAGAAAATGGAGGGGGTTTTATGTAAAAAACGATACTATATAAACACCAACTAGGGTTTTAGTTGTTCTCTTTGAAGCTAGTGTGAGAAGCAGGCAAGCAGCCGCAGCAGACTCCATTGCCAGGTGCTCTCCCAATCCCCTCTTCTAATCTCTTTTAACGCTTTGTTTTCTTTTTCTTTTTCTCGTTCTGAAGACAATGAATCCTGCTTTGTGTCGTGTCGCGTGAGATCTTTTTATTTGCAATTTTAGTGGATATTCTTGAATTGTTATATGCTCTGGCAATGCTATTCTGATATCATAAAAGATTCCTTAATTTTTTTTTTTGATAATTTAAATGGGAAGATCGTGTTATAGATTGATTCAGAATGATGTCGAGTAGCTTCAATGAAAATGGGATTTCATTAGTGATTTTGGGTTGGTTTTCATTTTGGTGCGGAAGCAGGTCAGCATGTCTCACAGGAAGTTCGAGCATCCAAGGCATGGGTCCCTTGGATTTCTTCCTAGGAAGCGAGCTTCTCGTCACAGAGGAAAAGGTAGTGACTTTGCTCGCATTTGTAGCTGTTTCCTCCTGATTATGCAAATTCTAGAATTTATAGTTTTTCATTTAATCTTATCTGTTTTGTCTTATGAATTCTTTTGTTTTTCCCTACTCATACAGTGAAGGCTTTCCCAAAGGATGACCCAACCAAGCCCTGCAAGCTCACAGCTTTCCTGGGTTACAAGGCTGGGATGACACACATTGTCAGGGAGGTCGAGAAACCAGGATCTAGTAAGTATTTTGATTTGTTTTCCTGCAAGGATTGCTTCTAACTGTTTCAGTTTGTATGTGTCTTTGTTTCTTTGTGAGTCTTATTGTTGAGAAGTTGTGCTCCTGAAACAAGATTGTTCTTGATTCCGTTAATTTCAGATGACGCTGGATAAATTATATCTAACATATTCATTTTGGGGTCTCTTTGGGCACCAAATTTTTGTATTCTGTTATGTAATTAATGAACCCATTCCTCTTAAAAGTTTTAATAATAATAATCCAATGCCTAGCAGTTTGGTTTTAATGGAGTGTGCTGGTTCAAAGAAAAAGGTTCTCAAGTTCTGTACTTGCCTTTGGTTTTACAATTTTTGCAATTATTTTCAAGAGTTGGAAACTTGTTATGTAATTTTTCTATTAACTCTAACCCTTTTTATTTTCTTGTCATGTAGAACTTCACAAGAAGGAGACTTGTGAAGCTGTTACCATTATTGAAACTCCTCCAATGGTGATTGTTGGAGTTGTTGGATATGTGAAGACACCACGTGGCCTTCGTTCCTTGAACACTGTCTGGGCTCAGCATCTGAGTGAGGAGGTGAAAAGAAGGTTTTACAAGAACTGGTGCAAATCCAAGAAGAAGGCCTTCACCAAATACTCAAAGCAGTATGAGAGTGATGAAGGGAAGAAGAGCATCCAAGCTCAGCTGGAGAAGATGAAGAAATATGCAACTGTTATTAGGGTTTTGGCCCACACTCAGGTAAAGCACTAGCCATGGATTGAACCGTTTTTAATTTTAAAGTTTTTGTTTATGTTTTGAATTGGTTTAGTTAAAAGATGCTTTGTGTCTGCAATGCTTTGCTTCTATTTTTGTTTATCACCTTATCGATGGGTCCTTATTATTGTTTTGTCTTTTAATTAACTACAGATTAGGAAGATGAAGGGATTAAAACAAAAGAAAGCCCACTTGATGGAAATCCAGGTTAATGGTGGCACCATTGCAGACAAAGTTGACTTTGCATACAAATTCTTTGAGAAGCAAGTCCCCATTGATGCAGTCTTCCAGAAGGATGAAATGATTGATATCATTGGTGTCACAAAGGGTAAAGGTTATGAAGGTGTTGTCACTCGTTGGGGTGTCACACGCCTTCCCCGCAAGACCCACAGGGGTCTGCGTAAGGTGGCTTGTATTGGTGCCTGGCATCCTGCCAGAGTCTCATTTACTGTTGCCAGGGCTGGTCAGAATGGATACCATCACAGGACTGAGATGAACAAGAAGGTATACAAGATTGGCAAGGCTGGGGAGGAGTCTCACACGGCTATTACTGAATATGACAGGTCAGTTTATTATTCATGCAAGGTGAATCTTTTTTACTGTCAGGTGGAAATTTATTATAAATTTGTGGTCCCTATGTATAACTGAATGGTCCTACCAGTTTGTTTTTGATTGATACCATTGTCTGGACTCATTCTGACATGAATGTTTAATCAGGACTGAGAAAGATGTCACTCCAATGGGTGGCTTCCCTCACTATGGTGTGGTGAAGGATGATTATTTAATGATCAAAGGATGCTGTGTTGGACCAAAGAAGAGGGTCGTCACTCTTCGCCAGTCGCTGCTTAACCAGACATCTCGTGTGGCTCTGGAGGAGATCAAACTCAAGTTTATTGATACATCTTCCAAATTTGGGCATGGTCGCTTCCAGACAACCCAGGAGAAACAGAAGTTCTTTGGACGCCTTAAGGCATAATTTTGAACACTTGGTGCAAGTCTTTGGTCATCAGTCAATTAAGTTATGTCTTACAATATGCCTTAGATGGAACACATGGACCCTATCGATTCATGATATGTCTTGTGTCTTGGTAATCAGAACAAATTTTGGATGATTTGTTTCGAGATTTATTTCTTTTTATTGGTTGGAACAAATTTTGGTGGAGTACTATTCTGAAATGGTCTAGGTTTATTGAATGTGCTATGCTGCTAATATTATTTGTTCATTTGCAGAATGTTGATTTGTTGATTTTCATTTCCATGTTCCAGAACAATCTCTACTAACAATAAATTGTGTAAGTTTAGGATGGTGGTGCAATATTAAATGATGAGTCAATACTAATGCATGAGTAAACTCGGAGAAGATTTTTATAACCTGTGCTGGTGTCATTAATGGTATATTAATTACATGTATATATAATAACTTTTTATAAATAATATAAAAAAATATAATTAATGGATTCTTAATGAATCAAAGTTAGAAAAACCCGTAACTGCTGAAATTAATGCGCTAATGACTCACTCACCTATACAATTGAAACTTTTTTATTTTTTATTTTTTGAAAAAAAATCGAGTGTGGATTATGAGTTTTTTTTTTTTAATATAGCTATATGTTAAAAAATGTTTAACTATTAATTTATGTGAAAATTATGAAAATAAATTTTATTTTTAATATTAATATCAGA